TCGATTATCAAAAAAACACATAAATTCCAAAAAAAAAATTGCATGTACAATATTTTCAACCTCAATGAGGATACCCACATTTACATAAACGTAAATCGACTCAATCCAAAAGCTGAAAATTTAATCATTAATCATATGCTAGTATTTGTTACCTTTTGCTCGATCTCAGGCACCTTGAGGACTTTCAAATTCACCTCCCTCTTTCTGCAACCCAAAAAAATATATACAAATGCATAACGATTTATATATGAAATTAACACCAATTACGTTATACACAGATTCACATCAGCTGAAAATAACACGAGAGAAAGGAAAAAAAGAAAAAAAAAGTTATGGAGCTCACATTTCACGGACAGTTTGATCGATCACCTTCATGAAATCCATGGTCGGATCTGGAAATCGAAATAGGAAACAACCAGATCGCAATGTGTGGGTTAATTTGTTAGAAATGGTATAAAATAGATCTGAACCAGAATTATAGCTAATTTGAGTTGGAATAACGAATGAAATTGAGAATCAAAAATAAATTAGATCTCTCTGTCTCGATGTGACTGAGGAGAGAGAAGGAGGGAGGCAAGAAGGTGTGAAGTGTCAACACAATATGGAGCTGGAAGAGACCTTGTGACCGTCGTTCGTGTGACCTTGAGTGAAGTTATCGCTTCCTCTGTACGGGTAATTTTTTTTGGAAATTNAGGAGGGAGGCAAGAAGGTGTGAAGTGTCAACACAATATGGAGCTGGAAGAGACCTGTGACCGTCGTTCGTGTGACCTTGAGTGAAGTTATCGCTTCCTCTGTGCTGGTAATTTTTTTTGGAAACTACCAACTTCCCCATGGTAAATAGTAAAAATACATCTCGACCCCCAAAAGTTTTTTGGGTAATTATTATCCGCACCTCTCTAGATAGTTATATCTCGGGTGAATTTATATTTAAACACTATTGACACACTTNTTTTTTTGGAAATTACCAACTTCCCCATGGTAAATAGTAAAAATACATCTCGACCCCCAAAAGTTTTTTGGGTAATTATTATCCGCACCTCTCTAGATAGTTATATCTCCGGTGAATTGATATTTAAACACCATTGACACACCTGCCGCTAAATCACCGTTTTTAACAAAAAATTAAAAAAAATCATCTAAAATACTAAAATTATCCTACATAAATCCTAAATAATATTTTTACATAAAATCTGATTAAAATTCATTTTTCTGTAAACATTTGAAACACGTTCAAATAGAAGACAAGTAATTATGAAGATGTTTGAATGATCACTCCGGTTGCATTCGATTAGTGAAAACCGAACACACGTTTACTCTAACTCGTAAACTATGAAATTTTTTTAGTAATTGTNTACATAAAATCTGATTAAAATTCATTTTTCTGTAAACATTTGAAACACGTTCAAATGGAAGACAAGTAATTATGAAGATGTTTGAATGATCACCCCGGTTGCATTCGATTAGTGAACACCGAACACACGTTACTCTGACTCGTAAACTATGAAATTTTTTGAGTAATTATNTAATTATGAAGATGTTTGAATGATCACTCCGGTTGCATTCGATTAGTGAAAACCGAACACACGTTTACTCTAACTCGTAAACTATGAAATTTTTTTAGTAATTGTAAATTTCGAGTGCATGCCTAAGAGTTCTTAAACATTCTCTAACTATATTAAGATAGTCGGGTTTATTTAGAGTTTGAAGATAATTTCTTTTAGAGGGAAAACATCGACGAGTAGAACAATTCAAACCAAAATCACAAAAACATAATTGACTTGTAAAAAATATTTTTTGTCCAAAATTTCAAAAACATCCTCACTACTCTTCTTCCTCTTTTCATGTGTTTCTCTCTTTCCCCCCTTATCACCGGCAAACAGTTCACCATCATTAGTCATCTCTGTCCNCCAAAATCACAAAAACATAATTGACTTGTAAAAAATATTTTTTGTCCAAAATTTCAAAAACATCCTCACTTCTCTTCCTCTTTTCATGTGTTTCTCTCTTTCCCCCCCTTATCACCGGCAAACAGTTCACCATCATTAGTCATCTCTGTCCTCTCTCCACACGTCACCACCCAGCACATTAAAACTTTCACTATCCAACAACCCAATAAAAAAAACCCACCAAAACAAAACCCTTCCCAGAACATGGATGACAACTCATCTCAAAACAAACCCCCCATAGTACTCCATTACATTTGCATCCACCACCCCAATGGTGCTCTGTCCAGCACAGTGGTGAAGTTTCTATACAATTTCATTGCAGTCAGATTTTCTGAACTTCCTTTATGAATTGTGACCCAAATTTTTGAAACTCCTCCACTTTTTTTTGTGTGATAAAATTATATTTTTGTTGGTCTTTTGGTGATCGATGGAGGTGTGTGGGGAGATTAATGGTGGGTTTGGTGAATTTGTGACGATTGGCTTAAGTTTGTGTGAAAGTAAAGGTATAAGAGAGAAATAGAAAAGTATCGAGAGAAGGGTTGAGGTAGAAGAAGGGTATTGAAATGAAAATTAAGTAGCTAAATGGNGATCGATGGAGGTGTGTGGGGAGATTAATGGTGGGTTTGGTGAATTTGTGACGATTGGCTTAAGTTTGTGTGAAAGTAAAGGTATAAGAGAGAAATAGAAAAGTATCGAGAGAAAGGTTTGAGGTAGAAGAAGGGTATTGAAATGAAAATTAAGTAGCTAAATGGTATTTCTATAAATCCAGACCTCCACTGTTGCAATTTATTTTTAAGTTAAGGAGGGTTTAGTATAATAGTTAAAATTGTGAGGATGTCACGTGCAAATGACTCTAAATACAATTTTATTTTATTGTTTTGAAATTTTTCCTTTTAATTTATAAATTATATTCAAACATAGTTAATCAAAATTACTCTTAACCAAATCCCTTCCCAGATCCTTTAATTAACTCATGGGTCCAAAAAATCATATTTAATATACAATTATAATATCTATTGTAGTAAAATTAAAAAAATAGATAATAAGTCAAACTGTAATGGACACAATATCTTCTATCTTTTAATTGAGATAATTTGATCATGTAATAGATATATTCAGACCTTTCAAATTTAAAATATTATACTTAGATAAAAAATATTTTAATTAAATATAGAATATTAACTATTTTAAATTTTACAATCAAAATTCATGTTATATTATATTATTTATTGATATAAAATTAAAAATAAAAATCTAATTTTTCTTAAAAAAAATTATAATTAGTATATAATTATATTATCTATTAAACGACCAAAATATCTCAATTAAAGATAAAAGATATTATGTCTATTACAATTTGACCCTTTGTTTATTTTTTTAGTTTTATTCCAATAGATAAAATAATTGTATACTAATTGTAATTTTTTTAATTTAATTTTAATAAATAATATAATGGAACAATAATTTTGGTTACAAAATATTTTATATTTTATATTTGATTTGATTATTTTTTGTCTAAGTATAATATTTTAAACTTGAGAGATTTAAGTATTACACGTCTATAAATTTCTAAAAAATCTATGTATAATTTATTAATAAATATTCTAATAGATATTAATAGTAAAAGTCTAAATGTTATACGCGTACAAACTTCAGTTGATTTATGTGTAATATTTTAAATATTAGAGGTCTAAGTAATTAAGTGATAAATTTTAAAGAGTTTAGATATAATTCTTCAAAACAAAAAAAAACTCAAAGATTTGACGTGATTGTCTTTCACTTTCTTTATCAGTTCTCAATTTCCTTATAAATTTAATATGACTAAACTCTCAATTTCATTCAAACTCCTTGTTATTCTTGGCTATTTTTTTTTATAAAGTACTAAATTTTTATAATATAAATTTTATTTAATAACAATGCATTGATCTTTTAAGTTTTTTATCTTCTTTTATTTAGCATAATAATATATGACTTTTCAATAATATTTATGGTTTGAGTGGTTGCGATGGGAGGGGGGGGAGTGGTTGCAATTGGAGGTAAAAGTGGGGATGAGGGTGGCGATAATTAGGGATGTTTAGGATTGTGATAAAAAAAAATTGAAAATACCATTTATCGTGCATCAAATGAGACGCTGCTAATAATTTATATATCAAAGTATTAGTTTCTGTCTGTGCCTTCAAGCATAAAGTAATAAAAAATAGTAAACAATAAATATCTTTATATTCATATCCAAAATCAAATCACAAATATAGAGAAGAGATAAATGAATTTAAACATCGATTTATAGTGGGGGTTAGAGGTGGTGGGCGATAGTGGTGGTGTTAAGAGACGGTGATCGTAATGGCGACGACAACATTGGTGGTGTCGGTGAGGGTAGCAGTGGTGGTGGTGGTGATGGCGGGTGAATGGAGGTGGAGGTGATAGTAGGGGGGTGGTGGTGGCGGCAGTTGCAGCGGCGGTGGTAGAGGGGTGGTGGTGGTGGCGCCGGTTGCAACGGCGGTGGTAGAGGGGGGGGTGGTCGTGGCAGTGGCGATAGGGGTGGGGGCGGTGGTTGTGGTGGCGGTGACGGTAACAGTGGTGGTGGTGGGATGATTTCAAACACAATATTTTTTCTTAAGTATTTATAAGAAATAATTTATATAAGTAATTTTAAAAAGTCACACCAAATACATCATTAAAAAGTCTATTTTTTTTATTAAATTTAGGGTATTGATAATAGTTGTTAGATTAATTTTAAAGTAAAATTTAAAGCGATCTAAACAGCGAATAACAAAAGTCATTTTATTTATCTTTTAATATTTGAATTGTAAGCTACTTTATTATATAGATAAAATTATAATACTTAAAATTTTTTAGATATTGTATCCGATCGACACAAGAGCCACTCATCCATGGACCATTCGATTTCACGCTGTCCTCTATGTTCAAAGTATTTTTTTTTTTAATATTCACGAGGATAATTTCCTCAAAATATACATGTATTCCCCTGTTCATATTTAATAAAAAATATAACTTAACGATAATTAGTCATTAGTCTGTCTGATAAACTTCCTCACGACTAGTTACTATCTCTTTCTCTCTCCATAATCGGCATCATCACGGAGTCTTCCAAACACCGGGACCTTTCCACTGTAAATTCAATTCTCTCTCCTCCGCTGATCTTGTAATCTCAAATCGATCATCTTCATTCGCTTGGGTCTCTCTGATTAAAATCCTTAGCCTTCATTCAATTCACAGGTCAGTATTTTTGGTCTATTGGCATATATGTATGTACATGATCAGTTTATGTGTTGGTAGATCGGAATCATCGGATGATTCCTCTGCTGAAATAAAGGGCCTGATTTTTATGCAGGTTTTTGAATAATTGAATTGTCTCAGTCTTAAAGTTCAATCAATAATGTTTACGCGAATCTTCGGCAAGCCTAAGCAAGAAACTAATGCACTAACAACGATAGACAAGTTAAACGAGGTAAGTTGTATAATTTGTGATTATGACACGATTTCCATTCTTTTTGTTGAACTGTACATAGAATTATTCAGTGTAGGCTTTGTATCATTGCACTTGTAAAGTTTAAATATATGATTTTTCTTGTTGAATTGATTTAAAAAAGGGATTATTAATTTCTATGGTAGAATAGTGTCTCTGGAATTGAAATTATGTGAGAATTTTATTCGGCATAGGCTTTGTATTGTTGTCAATGGGACTTGTGAAGTGTAAAGATCTGATTTTTCTTGCTGAATTCATTGATTATTAGTTGCTATGCCGTTTATGGAATATACAATGGGAGCTCTTTGATGCTGCGAAGGTTCTAGGTTTTGCTTTTTACTATTGTAGTTTGAGATTATGTCTAATTATCTCATGTTGGGATCTACCATGCAAGTATTATAGATTTGCCTCCACATCAAATATGATAAATGCTCTATGGATATATCATATGCCCTAGTGTCGGTGACTTGGTGCTGCCGGTCACTGGGACAATTCTTCGATCTGGTATCTCAATTGTGGGATGTCCTCTTGGGGCCACTTATTAATCTACCTGTGGCTTTTGTGGCACATTGTTGACCGTCTGCGTGCATAAGCAGCTTGGTCTGTTCATAGTGAAAATCTTCTCCTGTTCCATCTATGTAAATGTTGTTCACCAGTTATGTTAATGGGCTTTTAGTGACAATGTTCTTCTTTGAATTTAGAACTGGTCGTTTTATTTTCTCTATAACATGACAAAAGTCTATTAGATCTTACTACCAGTCAATGATGAAACTAACCTATATTTTCAGAACCCATAGCCGCCATAGTTATATATGTCCCTTATTGAAAGAGTCCTATTTTCACAAGAAGCTTGCCCCATGTACAAACATTATTTGGAACAGACTTGAAGAATTACTATTTCAACCACCCAGACTCAATAAAATATTCTCTAATTTTTTGGATAAAAATCTTCTCGCTCACTTGTACAGTTAGAATTATCACCCACTTCACTTTATTTCCTTAAGCATGTTTTCTGGGTGACTAGAAGGTTAACAAAACAATAATATTATTCCAATTTTCTCCCAATTCCCGTTCTTCTTTCACCGATAACCCAATAGTCCTCCTTTTAGGAAAGCCCTCTTTAGTGGTTTAATGCGTGTTTGTCTGAGAAAGAAAATCTTAAGTTATTCAACAATTGAAAAGGGAGACCAGGAGATAAACTCTTGCTCTTCTACAGGAATATGTTGTAATTTGGAATACTTATTCCATGTTGTTGTGTCTTAGTTACTTATGTTGATTAATTAGTAATTCGTCATTGTCATTTGTCCTAGCCAATTTTTTTTTCTTTGCCCATTAAAGAGCTCTCTCTCTCTCTCTCGTTCTGTCTCAAACACACACACACACACAAATACACAGAGTAACCAAATGTCTCTTATAGCTTCATTGCACTGGTTGCCTTTTACTAAATATTGGTTTTGGTATTCTCTGTAGACACTCGAAATGTTAGAGAAAAAAGAGAAAGTTCTCCAAAAGAAGGCTTCTGCAGAGGTTGAAAGGGCCAGGGAATTTACCAAAGCAAAAAACAAAAAGGGTATGATTTATGAATGCTTGTGAAAAGATCATAAGCTTTGGCATATTTTTTTAGAGTTACTAAATATATGATCTATGATCTCTTAGATTCTCCACTAGGTTGTGAAATTGTTTTTGTCTTTGTATGCTATGATTAATTTTTCGTGATTATTTTTTCGTATTTGTGTTTGTGTAGTTTGAAGGGGCTTTTGGGTGTTCTGTGGTTGCTTTGACCTTTGAATTTGATTTGCATCTGATTCATAAGGACCATTTAGATGGTTAAGGGAATAATATATGCTTCAAATGGTAGGAGAAACAAAGAGAGTGATACTTAGGGGTGCTGGTATGCTTCTGAAGTCAGTTGGTATCTCCATAAAGCTTGGTTCATAATATCTAATGTCGTCAAATCTTTAATGTTTTTATTGGCATTTGAATAATAACATTTTGGCTATATGAGCTAAAATGTATTATTTAAGAAAATGGCGATGATGGGAAATTAAGAAAATGGCAATGGTGGGAAATTAAGAAAATGGCGATGGGGCTTTCCGTCATGGTCTTTACACTAGGTCTCTTATTGATCCCAGTTATCATTATTATGTCGTGTAATCATGTACATGTCTTCTTATCTACACTTTTTATACTTGAAATACCTACAATTTACAAACTAATCTAAAAAAGGCACGACCAAGAAGGATTATGTCACTTTTCTAATTTCTGTTTTGTATCTTTCAAAGTCAATAGTGTGCCGTTAAAACTTTTTTCATTCTCAATTTGGTTGTTTCATTGTTGAGTTTCTTCATTGTTGTAAATATTCAGCTGCAATTCAATGTTTAAAGAAGAAAAGACTTTATGAACAGCAAATTGAAACTCTTGGAAATTTTCAACTGCGCATTCATGACCAGGTACTCTCTTAATAATTTATAGAATATAGTAATGCTTTATGTGATGTGGCCATGATGTTCTCATGAAGATTGATTGCTAATTTTAACATTATATGAGCTTGGATATCAGATGATAATGCTAGAAGGTGCAAAAGCTACAACAGAGACAGTTGATGCTTTGAGAACTGGAGCAGCTGCAATGAAGGCCATGCAGAAGGCAACGTATGTTTCGCTTCCTTGAATTGCTCTCTTTTGGTTATAATTTGGAGTCATCTTGAAAGCTTATGGTGATAAGCTGAAGCAAGACATGATTAATAAATGATGATGGTTTTCCATGGGCAATTTGGAAAGACTTATTATGGAGTTGTAAAATACCAAGCATAATAGTGTACATGCTATGTGAAAACACATGGCATACTCCATTTAGATGATAGTACCTGTTATAGATCTAGATCTAGGAAGTACGGATACGGATACGTGATACGGGTACAATACGATACGGATATGGCAATACGACAAAATTTAAAAAAACAGGATACGAGTACGGCCAGGATACGTCTATAATAAAATATATTTTATATTTTACTATTATTTAACGACTTAGAAATTACAAATTTTCAATAATTTTTTAACATTAGTAAGTAAAATTATGAATTTTTACCATGAAAATGATGTAATATCGTCTCATTATGATATGTTCATAAAATGAGCATGACCAATTGAAGGAACCATAACCACATTTAACTAGTTCGTTTTACAAATATTTATTTTTAAAAGTATAGTGTAAGTGACTCATTTTTTTTATACTCTCTTAACATTTAATAATAGATAATACTTAAAAAACACTCGTATCTTCAAAATCAAATAGAATTTTGTTGGTGTTTTATATTGTATGTGAACTCTAAAGAAGGGGTAAAGCTTAAAATTGAAAATTGTACATCTTACTTGATGTTTAAAAGTATCCGCAAAGTATTCACATATTTTATTAATTATCGGATATGGATAATGCGTGTCCGATACGTATCATCGAGTATTATATCCGATATGGGTACGACGACCATGACGAAGTATCCGTGCTTCATAGATCTAGATGGATGTAGCATGTTGTTCATCATTTGATTGGGCTTCATGCTAAATAGTTGAAGTTAAACATTTGGGTGATGATTACATGTCAATGTCATCCTGATTTGGTCATTGGCATTCACTTTCTTGAATATTTCTTTAAGTGTCTTTCTCACATTTTTTGGAGTATGATCAGTGTTTCTTCTGAGTAGTGCTCATAGATGGGATCGATTTTATACATTCATTGCTTGAAAGGAATCTCCTAATGTGCATATGGTGAATATCCTGCCCTCACACATCTCTAATGGCATCTTATGATGCAGGAATATTGATGACGTGGACAAAACAATGGATGAGATCAACGAGCAAACTGAGAGCATGAAACAAATTCAGGAAGCATTATCAGCACCTATCGGTGCAACAGCTGATTTTGACGAAGTTTGTGTCTTGTCAATTTTAGTAATCCATGTAAGGATTGTTCATTCTTGAATGATACATTAAACAAATGTATTGTTTCAGGATGAATTGGAGGCAGAACTTGAAGAACTGGAAGGAGCTGAGTTGGAGGAACAGCTTCTACAGCCAACCACAACTGCCCCTGCTGCTCCAGTGCAGGTGCCTGCTGGCAGGCAACCCACACGTCCAGCACCCCATAGGAACACAGCTGAGGAGGATGAACTTGCTGCATTGCAGGCAGAAATGGCACTTTGAAGTGGTAATTCGCAGACCTGTGTATTTTTTGTTTTATTATTTATGGTGTCAATTTTTGTGACGAATTTTAATTACTTAAGGCTACTTCATTAGCTGCTGTTGAGACATAGAAATTCCACAATGCATAGAAATCCTTATGAGGGGCCACTTCATGCAAAAGTAATTACAATGGAAAATAATATTTTGGGACAAAATAAAATAACATGTTCAACAGCTGATAGACTAGTCTGTGTTGGAATACCAACTTGTGCAGGCGGATGTCTTGTGGAAATTAATTGATTTTGGTGGTTGCACACATTAGTTGAGGAGGCAGAGAGTATTTCTGAAAGCATTTAACTAATTATTTGCTTTTCTTAATCATTCTTTTTTCTTAACACATTCATTGAGGAAAGGTGACAAATACAATCAAAAGATCAAGGGCATCCAGGATATCAAACAATGGCATGATTCTAATCTTATCCTGGTGATTGTTGAATACTATGCACAATTGTCACCTACTTGTGTGTTCACTCTGTGCAAATTGCAATCGAGATTTCATTTTTTATTTCTTGACTTTTGGTACTTACAGTCTAGTGTTTTATTTCAATCTTCTATTCTTATTCCAATCATAAGAAAGAAGGTTATACTCAACTGGTGTTTATTTCATATGTTGTCCAACTCCTTCGTGAATTACTGGGTTCTATAATATATTATAGTGCCATTGCATAGGCAGCATCTGTTTGAATCATTGTGCACTTAACAATGCATTTGAATTATCTGACTCAGTTATGCTTGCAGCTGTTGCAGTTATCAATACCAAGTTAGAGGAGACTGTAAACATTGGACTTACTGTATCACGATGGTTATTACTTGTGCCTCCACCTTTACCCTCACCCTCCGTTCCTGAGCATAATCTTCCGAGTGTGCATTTGTTGAAAAATCCCTGTACATATGACATCGAGGGAAATAGTTTCCACCTCAAACTTGGATTCTAAGTATGCTAATTCTTCCATATGTTTCTTTTGAAATGTTACGAGAATTTTCTCTTTTGAGATTTTGTGACTAAATGTAGAAGCCGACATATATTTGGCAAAAAAACTCTAAAATTGGGGGAGTGGATAGCAGGTGTGCTTGGGTTGAGCAGTTTTGTCTAGGAGATGCCAGGCTTAGTTTTTGTTTAATCATCTGTGCTGTATCCCACCTGGATTCAGTGTGGTATATAGCTCTTCAATGGGATCATTTAGGACCATTTCCAGGAAAAATTGTATCCCAAATTGCCGGAAGGCGCAAATTGAACTGTTTTCTTAAGGACTATGCAGATCAGATGATAAAATTGTTCATAACAACTGTGAAAAACGAGGCGGGTCTGTAAGAAATGCATCCCGAGATGGTTTCAAATCTTTGCGGGGTTACTAGTACAAACTTATTATCTTGCTTATTCTGTTAAACTTTGTACTCAGATATCCCATTGGCATTAGTGATATATGATCCTTTACATGTCCCATTACATGCTTTTCATAGACTCCAATGGAATGGAATTTAGTTGAATTTTGCTTGGTGGCTGTGTGAGTGAACCCTTACCCTACCATATGAGTTAAGACAATACTGGGAACCTGTTGCAATGTTCTTTGGATTTCGTGGACAACAAATTAAGCTCCGGATGTACATAATAACCATAAACTGCACGTGTTGTGGGTAAATCGGGATTGTTTTTTTGGGAGGACCAAGCTTAGGTACTTGAGATGGTAACTATTGTAGAGGGTAGTTCAAGTGGTAATGTTTGAGTTCGAATTGTGACAATCTGTTGGAGTCAGGCTATGAGGAATTTCTAGCAGAGATTATCTACTTTTAATTGAATCAGAGTGGAGAACAATTGAGTTCAAAGGCGGCCTAATAGAATAGGAATTAAAGTAGGGGCTTTGGGTCTCACCCATGAAGGAAGATCCCCAAATGCCTTAAAGTATGACCATAAAAATAAGCCCCAAATGTCATAATCAACTAAGAAATGTTAAACAGACTTTGGACAAAAAGTCTAACTCATTAGCCACACACAATAATATTTGAAATTAAAATAAATATGTTTAAGGAAAAAAAATCTACAAGTTCCTTTCAAAATAAGCATATCACTCTCTTTCAAAATGTATAATGTTTTCTCTATCTCATTTTAAACCAACCATACTTATATTTCCTGAATAACTAATAATTTGTAGAGAAAAAAAAATTAATAAAAATATCAATGACAAGACAACATAATGTACTGAATAATCTTAAGTTAAAAAATTGTGAAAAATTTAATAAACAAAATAAAACATTCTACTTAAAATATTGAATTATATGAAAATAATAGATTTTTTTTTAAAAAAATTTTCTTACAGAATGTTATTGACACGTTGTAACATTTACTTNAAAATAAAACATTCTACTTAAAATATTGAATTATATGAAAATAATAGATTTTTTTTCTTACAGAATGTTATTGACCCGTTGTAACATTTACTTTACATATAAAAGTTTTTTAAAATTAAAACTAATAAAATTCTCTATAAGATGGAAGATATATAAGAAAGGCTAAGCGAATTAATTATTCAATCAATCAAAAAATGTTACCCAGACTTAATAAAAAATGTAATAACAAATTTTCATCTCAAAAAAGCAAAAAAAAAATATATATATATATATATATAAATTATTTTTTAAAAATAAAAGACCTATTTAATATTGGTCGCTTTAGGCCTCCAATTGTATCGAGCAACCCTTGGTCGAATTGTACTTAAATTGATCCGAACACCTTTGACCATTACAAAAAATTGATATAGTATTAAAGTCCTCTCTTGTGAACTATCTTAAGAATTATTCCTTTTCATCATACTCGTGTGTTGTGTTTGTGCTCTCTCTCTCTCTCTCTGACACACANAATTATTCAATCAATCAAAAAATGTTACCCAGACTTAATAAAAAATGTAATAACAATTTTCATCTCAAAAAAGCAAAAAAAAAAATAAATATATATATATATATAAATTATTTTTTAAAAATAAAAGGCCTATTTAATATTGGTCGCTTTAGGCCTCCAATTGTATCGAGCAACCCTTGGTCCAATTGTACTTAAATTGATCCGAACACTTTTGACCATTACAAAAAAAAGATATAGTATTAAAGTCCTCTCTTGTGACTATCTTAAGAATTATTCCTTTTCATCATACTCGTGTGTTGTGTTTGTGCTCTCTCTCTCTCTCACTCTCTCTCTCTGANTCCTCTCTTGTGAACTATCTTAAGAATTATTCCTTTTCATCATACTCGTGTGTTGTGTTTGTGCTCTCTCTCTCTCTCTCTGACACACACACACACACACACGTATATTGACATGCCGGAGCAATGAATTGAAAATGGTCTGCCCTATCCCTATGTAAACCTTGATTTATTTATGTACTATGCCGAAAAGAAATGTGTATGTTGTAGCCTTTGACTTGAGCGCATGCCTGCAAAATATTCACACAATTTGTGGTAGTCAAGTACAAATCATCCACCGGTTCGTCACCGTATCCATTACTAGATCTTAAGTTCGCGAATTTAAATTTTATCGTCCCCATTCCCTACAGTAATATTTGACTAAAAAAAAAATTACAAATTATCGGAGGAGTTAAAGACTATAAGAACGTTTGGTGGCCAATAAATACATATTTTATAATGAAAAATATACACCCTACAAAATTTTTCGGATTCTCTTAATAAAAAAGGTTGGAGGACCATAGAAAATTAAAAAAAAAAAAAACATGAATTGGCAGATTCATTCATACATTTTGATTCATTCANCAAATCATCCACCGGTTCGTCACCGTATCCATTACTAGATCTTAAGTTCGCGAATTAAAATTTTATCGTCTCTATCCCCTACAGTAATATTTGACTAAAAAAAAAATTACAAATTATCGGAGGGGTTAAAGACTATTTGAACGTTTGGTGGCCAATAAATACATATTTTATAATGAAAAATATACACCCTACAAAATTTTTAGGATTCTCTTAATAAAAAAGGTTGGAGGACCATAGAAAATTAAAAAAAAAAAAAAAAAAACATGAATTGGCAGATTCATTCATACATTTTGATTCATTCATTGACTTGGAACTTAAAGTATTATATTGGAAGATTGATTTGGATTTTCTACTCTTTTTATTTTCATTATCNCATTGACTTGGAACTTAAAGTATTATATTGGAAGATTGATTTGGATTTTCTACTCTCTTTTTATTTTCATTACCAAACATCATCATGCGCATTGATTAATGTTTGAAGACATATTCCTATGCTCTTAGTCAAATTGTTATGTCACACATTTGTTACCTTCTTCCTTTTTTTTTTTCTTCTTCTTCTTCTGCTTTTTCTTTGCTTTTATTGTTATTCTTGTTGTTATCATTATCTTTGTTATTATTATCATGAAGAGTGCAAGTGATCAAACATCCCAAAGAAAGGAAAAGACGACTTTTGGATAAAAAAAAATAATAAATAAAATTAAAACAAGATAAAATCGAATATAAAAACGAATTTCGATATCATCAGAAGGATCAAAACCACTTCAAGCAAGAAGACAGGCGTTAGCCAATGGTTTTACTGGCCCTTTCTAACTGGTATTTACCTTATGACTGTGACTGTGAGTTGCCTAAGATTAGACCGATTCTCCTCTTGCTGCTCAACCAGCTCGGTCAAGTCTCATACTAGGGCCTTTTGTATCTATTGCCTATTGGGTACGACTGGGTTACATTGGCATGCTTGCTTCATTCTTTCAAAACAAAGACAGCACTGCTATACAAACACAAAATTTTCATAATTATTCTCGAAAAACATTTTCTTAAAACAAACAATTTTGTGTTATTTCGATAAAGTACTACGTTATGGAGTGTGATATGACATATACGAGTTAGCTACCACATCAGTGACTAAAAAAATAAATATTATTGAGACTTAATTTGGGAACATGATACATTGTCCACATTAGATTAGCAATAGATTTCAATCCCATCATTGCTAATCGAACAATAAGAATGTATTTAATCCTCAAATTAAGTTCAAAAATTTTATTGGGCTAAAAAAGAGTTGAATTTATGGTGTCATGTATGAAATTAAGCATAAATCAATTTTGCTTTGAAAGTACTTCAATAGTTCTGCTTATACGTATTTTGTGTATTCGATTGTGATTTTTGAAGAAAAATCAATGTGATGAGAGATAGGTGACATTGGTCCATCAAGAAAACACACAAATATATATATATTGCTCATGTCTGAAGGCATTATATAACACAAAGGAAAAATTGCAAGCAATTGCCCATATTAAAAAAGAATGGCCTGAAAACATTCCTATTAATTTTTCTTTTAAAATGTTTGAAATTTATTGCCGATCATATTAATGGAACTATTATAAAAATATACAAAAAAATTTCTCAAAACAACGCCACATATATAAATACCAAAAAAACAAAAAACAAATATTAACAGAACCTAATAAAGTTTACAATTTTTAAGCAATAAATAAATTCAATAAAATATTGTTCATTTATAAGACTCGTAAATTTATCACCACGTCTACCATTCAACCTAATAACACAACATAATTATAAACTCAATCTCCAAATTTTCAATTCACCCCATATAATAAATACTTTAAGAAAAAACAAACAAATACTAACAAAACAAAATTAAATTCTCAATTTTTAAGGAATAAATAAAATCAATCAAATCTTGCTCATCAATAAAACGCATCAACCCCAATGACAACATAATTATAAATTCAATCATCAAATATCCAATCTCCCACATATAAATATACACAAAACACAGATTCACATACATTTCTTTTTTGGTTATCGGCAAACCCTCGTAACTAACAATTATTTTTGTTAAAAATAAAACAATTCAAGCTTTTAAGATAAAATAATAATACATGATCATGTATTACTACAACTACAAATATCATCAATGAAATACGTTAATACCATACCAAAACTATCAAAGTCACCTAAAAAGTTGAATGAAAGATGTTAATACCTTAGCTGTAATATATACAAACCACCATCAGTTTTTAACAAATCTAAGAATAAGAAATGCAAATAGAGAGATAAAGATATAATAGAATTGAATTCACAATGATATAGTAAACTAATCAATTGTTGTCTGAGATCAAAAGTTTTAAAAATTGATACTAAATGTGCAAAATTCAGAAACTTAGTGCACAGACATTACATGTGCAAATGCAAATTTCAATAACGAATTTGTTTACTTTTTTAACACTTTCCAGACACTACCAAGTTTGTTTGCTCTGGAAACTTTGACAAATGCTCAAAGATCATGAAATTAAAGCTACAATGGATGTCCTGATTCTTTATATATCTAAACCAATATGATCACTAAAACCCAAAAACATAGAACATCAATTCATGATCAAAAACTTTAATTGGAAAAGATGAAGAGATTCACAATAGCACCTAGGTGGGTT